GGCTGGGATGTGCTGATGGGGCGGGGGTGGATTCCTCCTCCCCTTGAGCCTGTTTGGCTCTGCGTGCTCATGGGACTGTACTTATATGAGTGTCACGGACACACAGACTAGTGTTACGGATAATGCAAGTTGTCTCCTGTAAACGTGACCTCTGAATGAAAAGGATCGTCCTTATAGAAAGCTTCTCGAAGAGCGTCAAAACGTTTGTCGTCCGGTATGTGTGTGCACGGGGTTAACGGAAAGCGCATCGGCACGAGGAGTTCATCAAGAATGCAAACTAAGAACTAGCTAGCTGCCCCTTCAATTCAATCACTGCAAGCATGCCAAAGGTAAGCCTCTGCCCGACCCCACTGAGTCCGAGTCCGTCATAGAGTGTGTGTGTGTCATAGATCATCAATCCTTGACATGTAGAGTGCACATAAGTGATGCCCCCGGGGAAGTGGCCGTTAGCGTACGAGACGCCAAGTTCAAACGACGACGCACAAAGGGCGGGATAATCGGCACGGAATAGCGCTGAGCTCTTGGGCTGGTGGGAGATGTCGTGCAGGTGATGCTCGGCAATGGTGGGTGCGGAAATGATGCTCCCGGGGAAGTGGCCGTCAGCGTACGAGACGCCAAGTTCAAACGACGACGTACAAAGGGCGGGATAGTCGGCACGGAATAGCGCTGAGCTCTTGGGCTGGTGGGAGATGTCGTGCAGGTGATGCTCGGCAATGGTGGGTGCGGAAATGATGCTCCCGGGGAAGTGGCCGTCAGCGTACGAGACGCCAAGTTCAAACGACGACGCACAAAGGGCGGGATAGTCGGCACGGAATAGCGCTGAGCTCTTGGGCTGGTGGGAGATGTCGGCAACAGCGACTTGGCACACGGCTGCATTCAGGTGGTTCGGCTCGGTTGAGAAGGGGACGAAGCGGGTGGCGCATGCGAGCAGCAAGAGAAAGAGGACGATTGGACGCACAGGGACTGCTGATTCCTGTTGCATGGGCAACTCAGGTCCAGCGCGGCCGACGTAGGATGGCTGCATTGTTCATTTCCGAGAGAGGAAAGGCGACCCGCACATCGGTGGGGAGCTCGCGATGAGGTGGGCGTGATGGTGGCGCTTGCGTTGCCCACTACAGGCAACGTGAGGAGAAATCCTCCTCACATCGTAAGTTGCGAGCTCAGACCGTCGTCCGGTATCCACATATCGTCGTTTCGGTGACCACCCGGCCGTTCGGTAGTATCAAAGACCACATTGGCGACTGCTCCTGGAGGAGCGACGTTGATTAGACATAATGGTTCGATCTCTGGGCTCGTATACAGAAACGCACCATGTTGAGCTCGTGGATCTGTCCCCTTCTCGATCACCTCAAGTGCATAAAATGTGTATGACATCGTCGGCTGACCCCATCGCTCCTTATGATCCCGTCTCAAATACTCAAGACACTTCTCCGTCGTTGACCCTCGTTTACCGAAAGATCTCATGGAAGTCGAGTGTCTGTCAGTTATTGCTTGAAATGGCCTGGTAGTTTTTTTTGGG